TATACCGAGGGTTCACTGGACCTGCAACTGCCCACTCCACTTTTTTCATTTGCCCAGCCACCGAACCTGCACACCACACCGGCCAACCAGATTGGTAAGTTTTTCCCCTTTCCAATCCCCGCCATTTCCCATGAGTGCAGCCTGAGTTATATTCCTTGCGCCGGACCCCGGGGGGGTCCTCAGGCTGCGCAGTAACCAACTCATTCTTTCTCTTGAAGAAGAGGTCAAAGCTGTCAGACACCCAAGAAGTCTTCATGCTGCATACACCCCCAGCCCTTACTCATCTTTTGACGAAGCGGGGAATAACCTGTGCTGATTCATATAGATCCTTCTCCAACCTCAGGGATACCTGGGACTGGAGTCTGATCCCGTTTCTTTTTAAATTTTTTTTTCTCTCCCTCTGCACTGCAGCCATGAGACATAGGGGCTTCCTTCTTGTAGTTCCATGCCTCCTCTGACAAATGCCTTAAATATCCCCAGATACCAGTAAACCTGGCTGCTTGTACCCCCATATTTCACAAGAATTATCTAACTTCTGCTAGCTAATGGGCAAATGAAAGGAGTCACCTTATTGCCGTGCTTTTCCCAAGCCCTAAACCCTAAAGCCTCTTTCCCTTTCCGACTCTCTCTCTTTCTCCTGACCACACGCATTCTTAAACCTAAGGAATCTCTGACTCCAAAGAACCTTATCTTATCTGTTCTCTGCTCTGTGCTCCACTCTCTGCTCTACAGTATTGGGTGGGCAGCCACTTCTGCCCAAACCTGCCTCTCACCTTAACTCACCTTAACTCCCACCACTCGCTCTCAAGCGGCTCTGAGAAGCACCGACAGATCCGAAAGCAGGCTAGGATGGATACAAATAAGTTTACAATCAGGACCAACATGGAGATCACAGTAATCAGGATGGATCTTTAGCCAGAGATCAGTTTATACCGTGCCTCCTAGTGGATCTTCCTGAAGCTGTCCTCCAGCCAGCAGACTTAAAAAAGAAATCGAGACACAGAATAAAATCTGTCTCTTGTCTCCCAGACCTCCCCGAAATAAGGGCTAAAACTTAAGCATCTGGAGAGCAAGGCTCCTGACCCCACAGATGGAAGTTTCAGCTGTGGCATTTAAGGTATACCAGGGGAGAGAGGGAAAAGCCTGAGAAAGAACTGCCAAGTGCTGGCACATGCTGTCCAACTGGCTCCCAAAAGCCGCGGGGTCCCTGTTTTAAGTGGAGGGGGGGGAAAAAGGCCATGTGGGCTAGTGCATGCCCTGCTGGGCCTTCAGCTGAGCCTTGTTCAAGGTGCCACCTAGAAAGATAACTGGTCAGCTGACTGCACCCAGGCACCAAGGGGCATGGGAGCATCAAACTAAGACCTCCAACAGACTCGGGCTTGGCCACAGGCTCACTTGCAGGGAACCCAGAATGAAGCATGGAAGTGATCTGTTTCTTTTCTTCTGGACACCAGAGCCACTGACCCAATCCTGGGAGTTTTGGGATCTCACCTCTCCTCATTTCCTTATTGTCAGGGTAGGGAGGACAGCCTTACCCACCTCACCAGACTTAATGGGAAAAGATTTTCCAGCTAAGGTAGGAGCTTCCACTTCATTTGCTCCCTCCATGTGCCTCACTGCAGACCTGTCAGCAGTGTTTCTCCTCCTCATGCACAGGGACACAAACAGGGCCCTGCTCTCTGCCTTGTCCCTAATTCCAAAAGAATGAGTTCTCACCCCACAAGTTTTTCTCTTCCCAGTTCCCTCTTCTAATGAACTGCTCAGGTTATGGTTACAGGACCACCACAGAACTGGAGTCCAGGGATCATCAAGTAAGAAACTGTAACAGCTGAAAGGTATTTACACTCCCAGACCCAAAAGTGTCTGGGCTCTGCAAAAACAGACTTTAATGTGGGCTCTGCAAAAACAGGCTTCAATATAACCATCTATTACTGTTAAATGCTTTCAACAATTGATCACCTGTGTCGCCTGGATGCTAAACTAGTAAAGGAATAATAAAAGCCTTAAATAATCTACCTCTAATAAAGCTTATCTCAGGTAAAAATTAAGCAGAGTACTAAATACTACAATGGTCACTAATTTTCTCATGGCTGCTTTTTAACATGTTCAAAAATTTTCCCAAGCTCCAGAAACCAGCTTAAATCCATCTGGATAGGTCAGATCTACTTCAGATAAGTGCCAGACACAAACTTCCCTGGTATGGAAACACTCCAAAGAAAATAAAAATAATAATGATTCTTTTCTCCTAAGCTTTTCTCTGTCTCACAGAGTCCTGTCAGACACAAAAGCAGCCAGAGTGCCAAGCCAAGAGGGGTGAATGTCTCCAAGACAGCAGGACAGCCCACCATCGCAGGACGCCTACCCTCTAAGAGCCAACCGATGCCCACCAAGTCAGCTGGAAGCAGTTTTTCTGGGAGAAACAATGTTCCTAGTCCGATTCACTCAGTTTTTTATGATAAACAAAAAGGCAGGAATGTTAGAATTCTGTCCTTACTCCAGCTACACATGTGCATCTTGCATCTTATGTCATCAATGTGCACTGGCAACTACATGCATGTGGCGTGGTCACACAATCTGAGCCTTTAAAAAGCTGGATGCAGACCCCACCCTCTCTCTCTCTGCTCTGCTCCCTCTACCCCACCCTGTGGTGATAATCTAATTGTACTGAATTATTATTTTGATTGCATGTTAATAAATAAAGTTGTCTGGGAGTCAGAGCTATTAGAGCCATAGCAAGAGTGTGGCGGTGGTGGCACACGCCTTTAATCCCATAGATATCTGTGTGTTCAGGG